ACAAGGAACAGGGTAAACCACGAGAAAAAAAAAAATTGCATCCATGAGCAAGAAAAAGAAAACGAGCTGAAAATTAGGACCTGGGACGGGAAGAATAAAGAATAATAGTAAAAAGGACAAATGTATTAATAATAGTAGTAGTTTTAAAACAGACTAAAACAAGCAAATTAAAAACCAGAATAATGAAAGAGAAAAAAATCCAGGGAGGATAAAGCAGGCCTTCTAGGCTCTGCCTGAGCACACAGACTATGGTGGAGTTGCGGCGTGCTCAGAAGGTGGGTGGGAGTGGGGGATGGCCGCACCCCTCCGTTCACCAAGGGGTGTGGGGTATAGGAGTAATGAGGAATGTTGCACCTTTTCAGTCGTCCAGGTCTGGAGTGTCCTTGGGGTTACTGGCAAGCAGAACCTGTTCTTAAACCCCTGGAATCTTGGAGAGCGCTGTCTCTTTAAATATCCAAAATGGTCAAGCCACTTGTAAACATTCAGAATGGCAGCGTCCTCTGGACAGGCAAAAGTCCACAGCTCAGCCCGCCTTTCTCTTTGCTGGTACATTGCGTTTAATTCCCCAGCCACCAGAGCAGTCTTCCATGCAGTCCCTGGCTAGCAGAGCTGATTTTTAGGTTAATTCGTAGGTCCTACCACCACTCTGCACTCTCCAAGCTCTCTGTGCCGTGCTGCAGACTTGCTCAGGTTTGCTGCCAGACCGTAGCTCCATATGTCTTCTTTTTTGGTAGTTTCATGCAAATTCTTCTGCTAGTTGGGGTTTAGTCCACTTCTGTATTCTTCCCTTCAGGACTCAGGGGTCCAGGATTATCTCCTGTGTCTGTGTTAAATGGTTTCCCTTTTCTTTGTTGAAGAGGGTCTGTGCGGTCTTTCTCCCTATTCCGCCATCTTACCAGAAGTCCTCTTCATTTTGTTTTGATCTTTTTTCTGATTGATCCCTTTCCAAAAAAGTATTCAGGTATTTGTCTTCAATCTCATTAATGCTTTCTGCCATTTCATCAGTTCTACTTCTTTTCCCACACAATGTCTTATCCATTTCTGACAATTTAGTATTAATCTTCTGGATTTCTATCTGTAGATTTAGAATTATTTCTAATTTTTCATTGATTTTGTCATTTTGTTCTTGTATTTTCTTCCAGAATTCTTTTAGAGTTTTGCCTGTGTTCTCAATCCTTTGAAGATACCTAAATATAATTCTTTTGAATTCCTTTTCAGGGAGTTCTAATGCTGCTTCTTCCTCAGGTTTGTGTTCTGGGTCTGTATTCTGCTCCCTTGTTTTTACTTTATTTTGCTTCTTTTTGTGGACTCTGATGGTCTGTTTTCTCCAAAACATTGTGACGTTTTTGTATTTAGATCATTGTTAACTGTTTGTGAAGGGTAGCTAAGGTTGAGTAAGGCTCTTCTTGGTGGTTGTTTATCATTGGCCTGTTGGTGGGGAAGCAAGTGATGGCTTTCACTCAGTAAGTGATGCTGCAGGAGATGTCGGTGGAATTGTGTCGTATGGGGAATGTTGCTCTCTCCTATTCAGTTAGACAAAAATAATGATTGAGTAACGTCAAAAATGTAAAAGCAAGTGGACAAGAAACACCATGTAATCACACAGGAACAATAATCAAAAAAAAAAAGGGGAGCAAAAAAAACCTACCACAATATCTGGGGAGAGGTCAATAAGACAAAACAGGTAAAGAAAGAGAATAATCATGAAAAAAATGGAAAAAAACTCCAAAAGAAAAACAAGGAATGGGGTTAACCATGAGAAGGAAAAAAAAATGGAAGCAGGAACAGGGAAAAGAAATAAAGCTGAAAACGAACCTAGGAAGGAAAGAATAAAGAATAACAATAAAAAGGACATAAGTAATAATAACAGTTGTAGGTTAAAATATAAACAAAGAAAGTAAAAAAAAAGAAGAAGAAAAAAATGGGGCAGGGCTGGGTACCCAAGCTCTGTCCAAGCACACAGACTGGCATGGAAATGCTGCCGGCCTAGAAGGTGGGTAAGAGTGAGGGATGGCTGTACCTCTGTTCAGCAAGCGCGTTTGGGGTATAAGAGAAAGAAGGGGAATGTCGTACCTTTCCATTTGTTGGCATCTGCAATGTCCTGTGGTTCCTGGCAAGTGGAGCCTTTTCTTAAGTCCCTGGAATTTGGGAGAATGTTGTTGCTTTAAATATCCAAAATGGTCAAACCGCTTGTAAACATTCAAAATGCCTCACCCTCCAGACAAGCAGAAGTCCACAGCTTAGCCTGCCCTTCTCTTTGCTCATTCCCCTTTCATGCACCAGCCACCAGAGCAGTCCCTGGCTAGCAGGGCTGATTTTTAGTTTAATTCTTAGGTCCTAACACCACTCGGCAGTATCTAAGCTGTCTGTGCCATTAGGATCACTGCCAGACCGCAGCTCCATATGTCTCCTTTTTTGGTGTTTTAATGCAAATTTTTCTACTATTTGGAGTTTAGTCCACTTCTATGTCCTTCTCTTCAAAGCTCAGGGGTCCAGGATTATCTTCTCTATCCGTATTAATTGGTTCCCCTTTTCTTTGTCGAAGAGGGTCTGTGCAGTCTTTCTGCCTATTCCACCATCTTACTGGAACGCCTCTCTTGCTTTTCTTTCTTGGTGGCAATAAGATCCCTGAGTAAATTCCTTTTTAACCACTATTCCAAATTTCTCTTTTTTCCCTCTAGAGATAACTGATAATGATTGGCGTATTTATTCCCAGATCCATTTGTTATAAATTTTATATGTGTTATAAATATACATGTATATTCATATATATGTATCTGTATATAAACTCACTGTAGTTGAGTTGGTTGAGACTTGTAACTACCCCTCCTTGTGTTTCCGAGAAGGTATCCCTATCTAAGTAGATCGTCCAGTCTTTCTTCTGAAGAGTGGTCGTGGGTTTGAACCCCCAGCCTTCTTGTTAGCAGTCATATGCCTTAGGCACTATGCCACTGGAGTATATATACATATACACCATGATACACACACACACACACACATATGTACACACATACATACAGGGAGCTCTGGTAGCATAATGCCTAAGGCACTTGATTACTAAGCAGAGGGCTGGCAGTTCAAACCCACCAGCCACTCCTGGGAAGGAAGGTTGGGCAATCTACTTCTGTAGTGATGCTGCCTCGGAAACCCAAGGAGGGGTTACTATTAATTGGATCTGACTCCACGGAACATAACAACAACATATACATATTATATATATACATATATATATATATATATATGTATATATATATCTCTCAGAATATATAGTACTGTTTCTCTGAAGGAAGCTACATCCGTAGTGATACTGCCTTGGAAACCCAAGGAAGGGTCGCTATGAGTCAGGTCCAACTTGATGGCAAATAACAACAACAACATAGTACTATTTGTGTGTTTGTATTCTTTAAACTTAATGGTGTACATATCATTCTATTTTGTTTTTCTTCTCAATAATAGTATTGAGATCTTTCTGTGGTAGTAGATATGTGTCAAGGGAGTCCTGATGGTACAGTCGTCAAGTGTTCAGCTGCTAACCAAAAGGTCAGAAGTTCAAACCCAACAGCTGCTCTGTGGGAGAAAGATGTGGCAGTTTTCTTGTGTAAAGATTATAATCTTGGAAATCTTATGGTGCAGTTCTGCTCTGTCATATAGGGTTGCTATGAGTCTGAATTGACTTGACAGCAGCAAGATTTTTTTTTTTTTTTCAGATGTGTGTTAACGTTCTTTATCTGCTACATAGTGTGTAATAATAAAATGAATATAGTATATATAATAGAAATTGTGGTTAAGGTCTTGGCTTAACAGTGATTAAACTTTCAGCAGCTAACCAAAAGACTGGCGGTTCAAACCCACCCAGCAGCTCTCTGGATGAAAGACCAGGCAATAGCTGTTTCCATAAAGCCTAGAAAGCCCCATGGGGCAGTTCTACTCTATCACAGGGGCTCATTATGAATCAAAAATCAGTTTGATGGCATGCAACCATATACTTTGTTGAGCTATTTATTTCCTCATTGATTGAGATTTAAGATGTGTGTGACTTGCTGTTTTTATAAATGTATAAATCTTGGTTTTAATTTCCCAGTTCTTTCTTTCAACAGTTAGGAGTTGAATTTACTCAGTATTGTAAAATCACAGGAATTGAGAGATTTCAGAACATTAGTCAGATTGAAGTTAAGATGGTATCCAAAGAGGGAAAACAGGATGACAGGTTTTAGTCTGGAAAACAGGAGGGCACCCAGGTCCTTAAGTTCCAGTGAGGTTGCAGTGCTGGTTCCAAAAGATTGGGAGCTGTGGACATAAAACAACTTTGGTAAGAGAGGGTGTTCAGAATTTGAGATCTCAAAGATAGTGCAGTTCTAGTGGGGATCAGATTGAGCTGATGTAGGGAGAAGAGAAGGGAACAGAACTTACTTTTGTTGAGTACCATCACTTGCCAGACATTTGATATCTTGTATCATCATAGCAGCAGTCTTGTGGAGTAGGATTTCAGTACTTTCGGATGAGGAAACTGACTCAGAGTTTAAGGAATTTGCCTGTACTCACAGGACCCTAGAGGTATTCTGTAATCTTGGTCTGAATTCAAGTTCTGTGCTTATTTACTTCCATTCCTTACTTTGAAATTCTATTACCATTGTGCATTTCCTAGTAATCCCTGGGTGGGACAAATGATGAAGTGCTCTGCTATTTGGCTGTTCAAATTCACCCAGAGGCATTTTGCAAGAGAGGCCTGGCAATATACTTCTAAAAGTTCACAGCCATTACAACTTCTGTGGGGCATAGTTCTATTCTGAAACACATGGGGTCATTGTGAGTCAAAACTGACTTAGTCACAACTGATTTGGTTTTTTAGGTATTTGTTATCTCTAGCCTGTAGTGTTATCTCTTATACTTAGTAAGTAGTCAAAAGATATCTGGTAGATGATGATGATTAAAAAGTGTATCGTTGGGGAACAGGGACTCTTAAGACTCATGAACATTAACATTATTATCTCTTGTTGCAGGAATACTTGCTGGCTGGGGCAGATATCATTGAAACAAATACTTTTAGCAGCACTCGTATTGCCCAAGCTGACTATGGTCTTGAACACTTGGTAAGAATTCCAGTTTTTCTCCTGTCTAAGATGTTTGTGAGCACTTGTTGCCAGTGAAAAAACCTCTTGGAGCTACATGTTGTTGTTATGTGCCGTCGAGTCAGCCCTGACTCATAGCGACCCCTCCTTGGGTTTCCGAGGCAGTATCACTACGGAAGTAGGATTGCCCAACCTTCCTTCCGAGGAGTGGCTGGTGGGTTTGAACCACCAGCCTTCTGGTTAGCAGTCAAGTGCCTTAGCCACTATGCTACCAGAGCTCCTTAGTCAAGTTAATTCCTAGCCCATTCATTTCCCACCTGACATTATTTATGAACAAGGAATGATCAAATAAAAATGATACTTACTATGCAGTGCATGTTGATAAAGGCATAATCATTGACTGTTTGCACACAGTATTATGAGGACTTTTAAAGTATTCAGTGGCAGATTTGGTTCCCTTTATACAACACTATATTTCTGTATTCAAATTTTATCAGATATGAGTAATGAAAATACATGCTGGAGACTAATGTCCCTGTTTCGGTGTACTGCTCTCCCATACACTTGCCTCTGTTTTCATGTAGGAAATCCCAAGTATTCTGACACTGGGTTTCTCTCATGACATTAGACTTCATGAGATCAAGTACCTTTGCATTACCAAGGGAAAATAAAATTGTGTTAGTTACTTTTGTGTTACATTGGCAGACTTTTTTGTAAAGGACCAGATAATAACTTTTTTTTTTTTTTAATTGTGATTTGGGTGAAAGTTTTCAGAGCAAATTCATTTTCCATACAGCAGTTCACATGCACTTTGTCTCATGACATTGACTACAATTTACCACAATGTAACAGCTACCCTCCCACTTCCTCCTGATAGTTACCTCTTCCCTGTGTCCATCCCTCCATGCACTCCTGCCCTCTGAGCTTTCTCCCTGTGCATAAACAACCCTTCTTTTCTCCCATGATCTCTCCAAGGAGTCTGTCTACCTCAGGTTAATATTCAGCTCATATGTGCCTGTCTTTTGTTTGGCTGGAAGCCACAGGAGTGGGTTCAATTCCAGACCTGAGGGACAGATAGGGATCATAGTCTCAGTGGTTCCATCAGGCTCAGAACAGCAAACCTGGTCCCTTTTTCTTTTTCCAAATGATTTTGAGTTTTGAGATAGTAACTGATTTATCCTAACTATTCACATATATCATTGTAGTGCAAAAGCAGCCATAGCTAATACGTAAATGAGTAGACATGGATATGTTCCAATAAAATTTTATTTATGGAAACAGGCTACTAGCTGTAGTTTGCCAAACCTGGTTTTAGGATATTCTGGTTTCTTAATTACTGAGCCATGAGATCTTAGAAGTAGAAGGGATCATGAAGATTTCCTATTCTAAAACTTCCTAACCTGAGTTGTGAAAAGCCTTCAGGAAGTCCATGCCCCACCTTGTGTGTATGTGCATACTTGTTTTTATTTCCTGCTGAGAGGGTCGATGGCCCTTTATCAGATTTTCAAGATGTTAATGTGTGCAAAAAGTTGAGAACCACAGATTCCTGCCATTGTACAGTGAAAGAAACAGGCCTGGAGCACTTGCTAGGGGAACTGCCGAAGGTTTCTCAGTTAGGCAGGGACAGAGCTAGTATGGGAGCTCAGCTCTCCTGCCTCTGAGGCCTTTGGTTTTTCTATTACTACATTTTCTTCTAATTCTCAGAATATTTAACTACATTACCTTGGTGTCAGACATGCCAAATGTCCCAAAGAGATTTACTAGGCAACTCTGAATTTTGAGGAACTTTGCCTTCCTTATTGGCTTTTGAGGCTGGGGCTGCTGATACGCCTTCTTGGTTAAGATTTCATGCAGACCTCAAATTAACTCACTCTCCATTTCCTTATTAACCAAGACAGAGTATTAGGTGGTCATGAATTTCTTGCTTATTGTATAGAGAAGAATGACAAGCTCACGTGTGCTTCTTATGCTAGGCCTATTGGATGAATAAGTGCTCTGCAGCAGTTGCCAGAAAAGCTGCCAAGGAGGTGACTCTCCAGACAGGTAACACTCTTCTCCCTTTTGTGCACAGATGATTCCTTTGGCTTTCACAGTTATCATTTGCATTTATTTGTTTCATAACAGTTGTTCTGTCACTAGTAACACTGCAGATACTGCATTGTACTTGTTTGTACATAACTTCTCTGCAGTTTTGTAATGAAGCAACCACCCTCTCTCTGAATGGTCTCTATCCCTGTAGCCCTTGGGCTCAGAGTCTCCTCTTTGTTTATCTTGGTAGAGATTAATAGCTTAACTCTGTAGCAGGGACCATGACTTCCTTGTATATTTAAAGCTGCACTGTTTTTCTCCTTTTGAAAGCACATCATCAGGTTATTAAGATAGTGGCTGTTTTTGTTATTTTGGTTATCATTAGGCAATTTCATATTACTCTTTTAAAGCCACTCTTCTTGCCAGGATTGACTTATTTAGGTAAAGAGGTAACTGCTATTTGAACATTTTCTACTGGTTACTCCTGATTCTCTTGAAGGCTCTGTGCAGCACATAAAAAAGTGTAACATTAGATTCAGTATTGCTGGGTCTCACCGAAAATAACTAACCTGGCTGGCTGCCATAAAATCACTTGGGCACCAGCTGCTGGGGAGGCTTTTGAGGGAGGTAAAGGAATAGAAGAGATACATGGAAGCACCTTAAAATTTAGAAATGTGAAATTATTGCCAACAAGAAAGATGTAAAGCAAAATTGTTAGGAAGGTAGACCAAAGTAATAATGTTTAAATCCATGGAAATGTATAGGATGTTACCCAGAGTCATAGGTTAGAGGCCAATGAACCACTAATGCAACTCAGCATTGGGGAACATAAAGAGTGTTGGACTTGCAACCTGACCAAAGGCTGCATCGTTAACTAGTCAGTCATTACATTATAAATCATAGCCCAGGGTAGTGGGTGATTAAAATTATCAAAGATAATGGGCAGTATAATCCTTGGCTTTAACAAATATGTAAAATAGAGACAACTTCTCAGGCAGTTTTAGAAGCCCCTAGTTTTTAACCTAGAGGAAAGGTTACTGTCACTGTGGTATCAGATCAGTCCAGAGGGAGCTCACCTTCCCTTTCCTGGTCCGTTCAGACCCTGCCTTGCAGTGTAGCCATTACTGTCTCCCCACTCACTTGGGGCTAGGTCAGTGGGTACTGGCCCTTTCTGTTTCTTAGGTCCGATAATCCATTGAAACAACTCACAAACTATAGGGAAAAGTCTATCTTTAATCTAGAAGGAGAAATGATAGAGAGGTTTGGCAGGTGTCTCAGCACAGAGCTTCCATGTCCCTACAGAACATGCTTACCCTCCTGAGATCAAATATTTGTACCCCACAACCTGGAAGCTATTGGTGCTTCCATCTTCTAAAGTCATTATTGGTCTCACTGTGTGGCTTCCTGATGTTTCGACAGCATAGAGCTCCCAGGTGGTACCTGTGGGTCTGGTTAGACAACCCCTTCTCCACTCATGGCCTCAGGTATAATCTAGCTTTCCAGAACCAGCAGTAAAGGCTAAATTGTTTACTGCAAAGCAGTTCCACACCTCACAGTCGTTTTCTATAAAACGGTCATTAGAAATGGTTTCAGTTTGCTTCATACTTCAGTTTTAGACTTTGTAATTAGTAGTCCTGATTTTAATATTTGTCCTTGGTGAAGCATCTCCAGTATAATTCTAGGGAACATTTCAAGTTGTATACTACTACAAGGAGCTTTTGACAAATTTATGCTAAATTCAGAACTTTAAAAGTTTCTTAATACTAGGTAGAGATACTTTGTCCAAAAATAACTGAAGATCAAAAGGATTAATTATTAAAGTGCTTGAGGCTAGATATGAAGTAATTCAGTTTTTTTGCATTGGCTTGGAGATAAATAAGTACATAGCCACTATATTATGTAATTTCCCCAGTGAGATCTGGGACAGGCTCCCATGATCAAATATATTTTTGTGCAAACCTATTTATCATCCCACTATGTGGGATAGAGACTATAAGTGTCCTCCTAAGGACAGTTCAGGAAAGGTCACATTTTGTTGCTAAATAAATTTAGAAAAAAGTTTGGATTTTTATAACTTTTTGCATTGCAGAGTTGTGAACATGGGATTTTAGACTTTTGTTCTAAGGAAAATCTTATAGGGTTTTCACAGCAAAAGGTTGAATTATTTAGAGATTTCATACTACTTTTTCTTTTCCCAAAGGAATTAAGAGATTTGTGGCAGGAGCTCTGGGTCCAACCAATAAGACACTCTCTGTGTCTCCATCTGTGGAAAGACCAGATTATAGGAACATCAGTGAGTATTTAATACATATAATAATTGACCTTGGGCAAGTACCTTTGTGCTTCAGTTTTCTCACCTATAAAATGGGAGCAATGATAGGATCTTACACAGGGTTATTGTGAGTTAATCCCAGGAAAGTGCTTATAACAGTGCATAATAAACACTTAAATACAAAGTTAGTTATTATTAGAACTTGCTTTCAGATGTATGTGGTATTGTGTTAGTGCTTCTTTATCAGCTGGAAATTGGCTTGGTGTCTTCTCCTTGTGTGTGACTCTTCCTGCCTGTTTCCCTTTTTATAAGACACTGCTCAGAAGGGATCAAGTTTAGGATCCGTCCTCTATCTTATGCCCTCATGAACATAAGAAAAAACTGTATTTCCAAACAGGGTCATAGGTAGGTGTAGTGATTAGGACTTCAACATACCTTTCTTCGGGACACAAATCAATCCATTACAGTAGACTTGTCCTTAAACTGTGCATTTTTAAACCACCAGTAGTTAGTTCACAGGTGCCAGCATACCCTGAAACTACTCAGAGAATGTTGATGATTGATGTGCTGGGTGTGATTTATTTTTTGCAGCATTTGATGAGCTTGTTGAAGCATACAACGAGCAGGCCAGAGGACTTCTGGATGGTGGGGTTGATATTATACTAATTGAAACAATTTTTGATACTGCCAATGCCAAGGTGAGTTAAGAAAAGTGAACAGGGCTGGGGATGGGAGCTATGATGATTCCCTAGTGAGAAGATAATAAAGTCATTAAAAATTTTAAAGTTTCTGTATTTATTTTATTTTAGTCTTGAATATTTTTAACAGGCTGGTCGAATAAGAAATACTTAAGGAAAAAAAGCTGTCTTTTTAGCTTTTAAAAAATGACTTTTCTAATTAATAAGTATTGTCATATATCCTACTATATTTATCTACCACTTGTCTGTCAGTTTGTCATACTTAGATGACTTGCATGTTGCTTTGATGCTGGAAACAATGCTACTCACATTTCAAATACCAGCAGGGTCACCCATAGTGGACAGAATTTAGCAGAGCTCCCAGATTAAGACAGATTAGGAAGAAGGACATACATGGCCAGGTCCACTGCTAAGAAAAAAATGGCCACTGAAAACCTTATGAGTAGCAGGGAAACACTAATACTGTCCTGGAAGATGAGCCCATCAAGTTGGAAGGGACTTAAAATACGACTGGGGAAGAGCTGCTTCCTTAAAGAAGAATGACGTCACATTCATCATCAGACAGAACAAGATCAATCTTGAAGTGCAGTGCTGTCAGTGATTGAATAATATCCATATGCCTATGAGGAAGACCAGTTAATACAATTTTTATTCAAATTTAGACACAAACCATTAAAGTCGAAGATGAAGAAATTGAAGATTTTTTACCAACTTTAGCATTCTGAAATTGACCAAACTTGGAATCAAAGTGTATTGATAATTACTGGTGATTGGAATGCAGAAGTTAGAAATGATGAAGTACCGGTAGTTGGAAAATATGGCCCTGGTGATAGAAATTACTCCAGAGATTTCATGATAGAATTTTGCAAGACCAACAACTTATTCATTGCAAGTACCTTTTTTAAAAATAAAATAAAGGATGATTCATATGGCCCTGACCAAAAGGAATACACAGGAACCAAATGAACTACCTCTGTAGAAAGAAGCAATGGAGAAGCTCACTATCAGAACAAGGCTCTGGACCGATGGTGGAGCAATCAGTTGTCATATGTAAGTTTAAATTCAACTGAAGAAAATTAAAACAAGTCCATGAGAGCCAAAGTATGACCTTTAATGTAGAGACCCACTTGAAGAATTTAGAGACCATCTGAAGAATGGATTTGATGCATTGAACACTAGTGACTGGAGACGGGATGACTTGTGGGGTTGACATCAAGAACATCATACATGAAGAAAACAAAAGGTCATTAAAAAGACAAGAAAGGATGAAAATACAAAATGGATGTTAAAAGACATTCTGAAACTTGGCTTTTGAACAGAGAGTAGCTAAGACCAATGGAAGAAACAATAGAAGACATTCTGAAGCTTGGCTTTTGAACAGAGAGTAGCTAAGACAATGGAAGAAACAGTGAAGTAAAAGAGCTAAACAGAAGATTTTAAAGGGTGACTTGAAAAGAATTTATTATAATGAAATGTGCAGAGACCTGGAATTGGAAAATCAAAAGGAAGAATCCACTCAACATTTCTTAAGCTGGAAGAACTGAAGAAAAAATTCAGGCCACTAGTTCCTATATTGGATTCCATGGGCAAAATATTGAACAGTGCAGGAAGCATAAAAGAATACACAGAATCACTGTACCAAAAAGAATAGGTTGACTTTCAGCCATATCAGGAGATAGTATATGATCAAGAACTGAAGGAAGAAATCCAAGCTGCACTGAAGGAATTGGCAAATAACAAAGCTCCAGGAATTGATGGAATACTCATTGAGATGTTTCCACAAATGGATGCAGTGCTTGAGCTGCTCATTTATTTATGCCAAGAAGTTTGTAAAAGCTACCTGGCCAACCAATTGGAAGAGATCGATATTTGTGCCCATTCCAAAGAAAGGTGATCCAGCAAATGTGGAAATTATCAAATATTAATACACAATTTTACACAAGTAAAATTTTGCTGAACATAATAAAAAAATGATTATAGCAGTATATTGGCAGAAAGTGCCAGAAATTCAAGCTGGGTTCAGAAGAGGCCATGGAATGGAGGGATGTCTTTGCTGATGTTAGATGGATCTTGGGTGAAAGCAAAGAATAACAAAATGATGTTTACCTGTGTTTTATTTACTGTGCAAAGGCATTAAGCTCTGTGGATCATAACAAATTATGGATAACATTGCAAAGAATGGGAATTCCAGAACACTTAATTTTGTTCATGAGGAATATGTACATAGACCAAGAGGCAGTTGTTCGAACAGAAAAGGGGATACTATGTAGTTTACAATTAGGAAAGGTGTACATCAGGGCTATTTCCTTTCACCATACTTAATCAGTCTGTATGATGAGCAAAGAGCATGGCCTCAGGATTGGAGGAAAAGTCATTAACACTCTGCAATATACAGATGACTCAGCCTTTCTTGCTGATATTGAAGAAGACTTGAAACAGTTACTGATGAAGATCAAAGACTAAAAATGCCTTCAATGTAGATTACATCTCAACATAAAACAAAAATCTTTACAGCTGGACCAAAAAGCAACATTATGATAAATGGTGAAAAGATTGAAGCTGACAAAGATTTCATTTTACTTGGATTCACAATCAGTTCCCCCTGGAGTCAGCAGTCAAGAAATCAAACAATGTATTGTACTAGACAAATCTTCAAAAGACCTATTTAAAGTGTGAAAGAGAAAAAATGTCACTTTGAAGAGGTAAGGTGTGCTTAACCTAAGCCATGGTATTTTTAGTAGCTTCATGTGTATCTACATTCCCTGGAGAAGGATATCATGCTTGGTAGAGTGGAGGGTCAACGAAAGAGGGGAAGGCCCTCAATAAGATGGATTGACATAGTGGCTGCAATGATGGACACAGGTATAGCAGAGATCAGGGAGCTAGCCCAGGACTGGACAGTTTTTTGTTCTGAGTTGTGCTGAATCGAAGATGACTCAGCAGCACCTAACAGCAACATGTGTATGTGACAGTTGGACAGTGACTAAAGAAGACTGCAGAAGAATTGATGTATTTGAATTGTGGTGTCAATGAAAATTATTTAATGTACTGTGTACTATTAGAAGAACAAAGACATGTGTTTTGGAGGAAGTTCAGCTAGAATGCATCTTAGGAGCAAGAATTGTCAGACTTTGTCTCTCATACTTTGATCATATAGTCAGAAGGGACCAGTCCCTGGAGAAGGATGTCATGCTTGGGAAGGTACAGGGTCAGCAAAAAAAGGAAGACCCTCCACGAGATGGAATTGACACAGTGGCTATAATGATGGGCTCAGGCAACAATTGTGATGATGGTGCAGGACCAGGAAGGGTTTTGTTCTGTTGTACATAGGGTTGCTGTGAATTGAAACTGACTTGATGGTACCTAAAAACAACAACATTGTATGGCAGTGGTGGTCCAGTGGTATAATTCTCGTCTTTCACACAGGAGACCCAGGTTCAATTCCTGGCCCATGCGCCTCATCTGTAGCCACTGCCTATCTGACAGTGAAGTCTTGTGAGTTGCTAAATTGCTAAATAGGTTTCATTGGAGCTTCTAGACTAAGATGAATTAGGAAGAAACACCTGGCAATATTCTTCTGAAAATCAGCTAGTGAAAACCCTATGCATCACAGTAGTCTGGTCCCCAGCTGATCATGGAGTTGGCACAGGACTGGGCAGCATTTTGCTCTGTTGTGCATGGGGTCACCATGGCTGACTTGATGGCAGCTGACAACATAATAACGTGTATATATGTATAGATAATAAATATGTATACCAAAAACCAAACCCACTGCCATTGAGTTGATTCTGACTCATAGTGATCCCTGTTGGGTTTCCAAGGTGGTAAATCTTTATGGAAGTGGATTGCCCTGTCTTCCTTCCACGGAGTGGCTGGTGGGTTTGAACTGCCGACCTTCTGGTTTGCATTCAAATGTCTTAGGCATTGTGCTACCAGGACTCCTTAAATACGTGTACATGGTCCTAAATTTGAAGGTGCATAAATGTATGCACTGAGAATTTTGTTTTCTTTCTCTTGTTTCTGAGTTTCCAGGTCTCTTCTCAGCACAAATAACTGTTCTCTTTGTGGGTCCTGACAGAGGTACTATGCAGATGTAATTATGTGTGACTATATGGATTCCTTTCCTTCACTGTTTTAAACATAACCAGCTGTAAATCACCAAACCAAATTCAATGTCATCAAGGTGTTTGCAACTAATAACTAATATCCTACTTTATAGGATAGAGTAGAGCTGCCCCATAGGGTTTCCAAGGTAGATGTTTTATAGAAGCTGATCACCTCATCTTTCTCCCATGGGGTGACTGAGGGGTTCTAACCAGTGACCTTTAGGTTAGTAGCCAAATGCTTTAAACATATGTATGACCCTTTTGTGTTATTGAAATGTCCCCCTTTTTCTCTAGTAAGATTTTTTGTCTTAAAGTCTATTTGTCTAACAGATAAAAGTAATATAACCACTTCAGTTCTCTTATAGTTACTGTTTACGTTCTATATCTTTTTCCATCCTTTTCCTTTCAACCTATTTGTGTCTTTGTACCTTAAGTCTGTCTCTTAAAGACAGCGTAGAGTTGCATCTTAACTGTTTTCTCTAGTGTGACAGTCTCTACCTTTTTATTGAATTATTTAATTCACTCTACACAGTATGTGTAGAATTGCCTCATATTTTAATGGGTATATAGTGTTATATCAGTGTACCATATTTTATTGAGCCTATCCTCCATTGACTGACATCTTAAGTTGTTTCCAATCTCTTAGTTTAACCAACAGTGCTAGAGAAAATATCCTCATACCTATGTTGTTGCACAGTATACCTATGGGATACATTTTTACAAGTGAAATTGGTGAGTCAAAGGGTATATGCATTGTTAATTTTGATCTTTACTGTCAAATTACTCTCCTTAGAGATTGCACTGATTTATATTCCCATCAGCAAGCAGTCTACAGTAGTGCCAGTTTCTGCACACCCTCTCTAATACAATGTACTATTAAACTCTTTGATCTTT